TTCGGGACTAACATATGGTTCAATTTTATTTCAATAATTTGTGTGTGCGTAGGGGTCTTTAGCAGTGGGGTGTGTGGGTGGGGTGGGTGTGTGTGTGTGTGTGTGGGGGGAAAACGGCCTATCAAAAGATTTGACTATCTTCTAAATATCATCCGCAGTGAATATCAAAAGATTTGACTATCTTCTAAATATCATCCGCAGTGAATGTCAATGTTGACTGATTTATAATTGATTATTTCTTCGTAGATACTAAATGAAGCGGAACCACATTTAGACTCAATAATAAGTACAGATTAGAAATATTCTTCAAACTATTCAATTCTGGAAAACATGAATTTAAAGTTTGTATAACTTTATTCCTTGGTACCTTAAAATAAAAACAGAAAAGAAATGAAATGGATTTTAATGTCCTATTGTTCTGCTCCGACCGGACTAATGAAGATGGGCATACGCCATACAGTGTGCTATGAGGGAAATTTTGCCCGGACAGCGTCACTATGGTCTACTCTATTCTAACTGTCAACAATGTGTACACAGGACCTCGTTTTTTTTGGTCCCATCTGAATGACTAGACAGCTGTCCATGTCAGGCCCTCCATCCTGCACCACTGAACCACAGGTGAAAACCCCACGAAATTTTCTCGGCCAACACCGAGAGAAAAAACTAGAACCTTTAGGCTAGCAACAGGCCTGGAAATAACGGTTTTAGATGTATCTGAAATAGTACCGGACATTTTCAACTTAGTGTCGGACATGTATTAATAATATCAATAAAAAAGACAAATCAGTGCCGGACAAAATGACAGGCACCAGAGGTTTTGTGCTTGAAAAAGTCTGAATCTGTGTCTGACATTGTCATTGACAGGTGCCTTATTTCCAGGCTTGGCTAGCGAGCCAGTGTCTTACTCACTGAACCACAGTAGCTTCCTAAAATAGACGGAAATGGGTCTAACTAAACGCACATATAAATGTTGTATGTGAATTTACACACCTTGGGACGTTATTTCCTTTGATCTCCTATCAACCTGTTGTGACGTCATCAGAATAAATGAAATGAAATGAAATGGGGTTTAACATCCTACTGTTCTGCTCCTAAACTGGGATAATGAAGATGGGCATATGCCATACAGTGTGCTATGAGGGAAATTTTGCCCAGACAGCGGCACTATGGCCTACTCTTATATCGAATTCCAACTGCCAAGGGATCTTTTACGTGCACACCAATGTGTACACGGGACCTCAGTTTTCCGTCCCATCCGAACGACTAGACAGCTGCCCTTGTCAGGCCCTCCGTCCTGCATCACTGACAAGGGGGAACCACGCCGGAAAATATGGATGAACTTTCTCGGCCAATGCAGGGAACGAACACCCCACCTACAGGCTAGCGAGCCAGCGTCTTACCCACTTAGCCATCGTGATCCCCCGTGACATCATCAGAGGGTCACATATTAATGATGTATGTGTATATAAACTGATTTACATTACATTTAAAAAAATCTTTATTGTAATTTCTAATTAATTATGTTCAGTGAAATATGCGAATTGCCCAAATTGAACGGCACTTGTTTGCACGTGCTTAGTCCATTCTACACAGGTTTTTTTATTGTTATTTTGTCGTTTATGAATCAGCTATTCTTAATTACTTCCGCATTGTCTTCTGGGACGTCTTTCTTTGTTCATTACAAATGGTGCTCAAATCCATTACGTCCACAGAGTTCATGACATTCTGTACTAATTTTAAAATGTGCATTGTTGCTTAAATATCGAATATATTAGAATCCCATAGTTTCATGGTAGGTTAACAACATCAATATTGATTGGAATGGACCAATATGGAGTTAGTGGTCTAGCGCCTTAAATATACAAGTAACATCATGTCCGTATAACACAGTGACTGTATTATAAATCGGTATTTATTATAAGATGTAAACATAGGAATTAACAATATACCAGTGTAACAAACAAACAAAGGATTAATATATTTAATATATACAAGGCATTAAACAATAGTAATTAAAATCATTAATCTGTCAGCCATCTGTCATTAGATTAATTATAAGTATTAATGTCCTACTGTTCTACACCAACTGGGCTAATCAAGACTGATATAAATGTCTAATTGAATGAAAGAACAAATAAAATATTGAAAGTCATCACTATTATATCACTATTATAGTGTTGATGAATGAAAAAAAACCTCTCATTTACATACACTATATGCAGGGTAATTAATTAGTTGTCTGAATCCATTTTTAGAGTTACTTCCCTTCTGTAAAAGCACTATGTTTATTACTGTGGCCATGTTAATGTACCCTACCTCACTGACGGAGCATTGAGTTTTTACGTACAAGTACTACATGTGCCAATGTATTAATAAAGGCAGTAAAACCTAACCCTGATGTGTTTTAAGTAGATTTCCACTCTGAATGCAAGCTGGGGTGTAAAGAAGAAAAGCACCTCACGTTACAGTGCTCAAAATTAAAGAGAGTTAAACGTCCACTGGAAACATTTCAGGACTAACTTATGGTTCAATTTTATTTCAATAATTCACTTGTGCGTAGGGGTCTTTAGCAGTGGGAGGAAACCGGAATACCCTGAGAAAACCCACCAGGTTGGACATGCGACCCTATACTCCTTGTCCCGTACAAGCCTGGAATTGAAACCACGCCAGTTGACTCAATGACAGACCTTATCATACAATGTGGCCAACCAACCCCCCATTATGAACATGTCTGGAACCAAGTTCAAAATATCAGGTACCAGTATCATACTAAACTTAGGCTGTCTGTCTACAGTCAGCTCCGCTAGAGAACAGACACTAAGTTAGTTGAAAGACATTTTAAGTCATATATCAATGAATTTGAGAAGTATTTATTTCACTTTCATTAAGAGAGAGAGAGAGAGAAATGGGGTTTAACGTCCACTCGACACAAACTAGGTCATTTCAGGACTAACATATGGTTTAATTTTATTTACATAATTCGCTTGCGCGTAGGGGTCTTTAGCAGTGAGAGGAAATCGAGGACCCGGAAAAAACCCACGAGGTTGGTCAGGCAACCTTACTCTTTGCCACGTACAACCGGGGATTCGAAACCCCGCCAGTCGACTCAATGACACACTTTATGATACAGTGCGCGCACGCTAACCATTCAGCCATCCAACCCCCCCTCACTTTCATTTAAACTGCATTACAAATTGGTGGATATGGCGGCCTTTCAGGACAGAGATCTTTTGTTGAAGTATGAAGTAGATGAATCTCTGAGTGCAGAATGAAATGAAATGAAATGTGGTTTAATGTCCTACTGTTCTGCTCCGACTGGGATAATGAAGACGGGCATACGCCATACAGTGTGCTATGAGGGAAATTTTTCTTCCCATCTGAATGACTAGACCCAGAAATGGAAATGAATCGGCCAGGGGTAGGCCTAACGAATAGTCGTCTTTTCAACAACAAACATGTTGGTTTATGCATACTCTATTCACGACAGTAATTGCATAATTCACTAATTGCATAACGTATTCGGGATAATAATAGCTGAAACTCTGAATAAACAAGACCTTTGTTTTACCAATCGGCCTGATAATTAATTCTTTGTAAATCGGCCGAAGGTAGATTGATTTGTGATAATTTAGTGGCCGGTTCATTGTTTTACCAATCGGCTAGATTAAAGATCAATCGGCTAAAGCCAAACAAAAAACATCCGATTAAGATCCCCGACTCGCAACGCATACAATAATGTAATATGAATTTATATAAACTGATTTACATTCAATCATTTCTATCTTTACTATAATTTCTATTCAGTTATGTTCAATGAAATACGACAGAAGTCTCAATCGAATGGCAACCTCTAGTGCAGTGGTTCTCAGCCAGTTTGCCCAGGTGTGCAGCGAGATCTTCCTAAGTGTGCCGCGAAATTTTGAACAGCACACTAAGAAAATTTCTCACTAAAGAAGCCAGCTATTTGACTGGTGAAATTCGCAACACTGCAATAAAGTAAGTTCATAGCTGTTCTAGCATCTGGTTATTCCAGTCTACACTGATAGTATTTATTGTGCATGCTCTCCAGGTAAGAATATGATGTCACTGTTTGACATGACTTGTGGAATATGTCTAGCCTAGTTCTGCGAGTCCCATGTTACACGATTCGTGTACCAATTGTAAAATGTTTATTTTGGTTTAAATATTGGATATCAGAAGGCCATCTTTTCCCGGTAAGATCACAACATCAATTGTTGATTCAAATTGACAAATAATTCAAGTTTTCAATGTCCAAGACTTTGGATGATATTGAGTTAGAGACTTAGCTACTTTAATATGCTGCCAATTTTGCCTGGGCAGTGGTTTACGGTCTACTCTTATTTCGAATTCCCAATTGTACTTATCCAACCAAATCAAGATTAGGTGCAAAGTTGATAGCACTTTAATTTGATATCTTGGGTTGGGACTAATTTAGTTTTAATTTATCAGCTTATCATTAGTTCAAATAATCAGCTGATCATTAGTTCAAATAAGGAGTTTTATCATTAGTTCAAAAGTTGTTAATAATCAGTTTTATCATTAGTGCCCACTGATAAAATCTCCAAATATGTTGATAATTAACTATGCCAGCGTATTCATTTATATAACAAGTCCTACTTAAGTTTCCCCCCATTTAATATCACTCGTGTTCTATAAGTTATTACGTTTAAAAGAATACAACAAGCCAGCAGTGAGGCTGATGTTCCCCTGGGGGTTGGATGGCCGAATGGTTAGCGTGTGTTTGTTGTATCATAAGGTCTGTCATTGAGTCAACTGGCGTGGTTTCTACTCTCTCTCCTGCACCACTGACAAGGGGAAACCACGTTCGAAAATCACGATAAACTATCTCGGCCAATGTAGGTATCAAACCTGTGACCTCCAGGCTCGCGAGCCAGCATCTTACTCACTTAGCCACCGTGGCTCATTCTTTAAGATGTATACTTATCTTAATACCTAAAAATTTGATGTTAGTTCCTTACCTGTACAGTATTGGTGGTTAGAAATCTACGTTGACAAACAGATCTAATTGGTGTGCGTAACTTGACTAAAACAATATTATCTCCCTTGTCTTCGGGTTCAGGGGGTAAAACAATAACCTTGAAAAAAAGAAGATCCTACTGGATTGAATTGAAATAGGGGGAAATAGGGGTTTAGCGCCACACTGTTCTGTACTGACTAGGCTAATGAATGAAATGAATTGAATTGAAATGTAGCGAAATTGGGTTTAACATTCTACCATTTTGCTCCTACTGGGCTAATGAAGATGCGCATATGCCATGCGGTGTGCCATGAAGGAAGTTTTACCCTGACAACGACACTACAGCCTACTCTTATATCGAATGTGCAAGCCAATGTGTACACGGGACCTCGGTTTTTATTCTTATTAAAGAAGCTATTTATCTTAATTGAAAAATAGAACTTTTAAATTAGATGGCAGCAAAAATAAAATTTCTGTACTGTAAGTGGCTTTATTGAGATATAAACATTGGACGTTATTCAAGATCATCGTAGGAATCATAGCTTGAACGGTTAGAATGTCAAAATTATTATTTAACAAAATTTCCACTCAAGGCAGCTAATTCAACATGTGCTGCCTTGGTCGAAAACTAATAAGTTCAAGTCACAAGGCATGGGAATAATTCGAACAAGCTTCTGGTAAAATTGGCGGAGGAATTGCCGACTAGTAACATCCATTCAAATCAGCAATCAAGGGCCTCGAGATCTAGGATGCTTTCGGCTAAGGTCTATAATATTTTTGACACTGTTATCAGCCTTTCTTACATGTACTGTAGTCTTAAACATCCAACATATTCCTTGGAGTTGTTTAACTGTGTTTAAACACACTTTCATGTTCCTCTAGTCCGACTATGGGAGGGAGGGGGGTGAGGGCATTGGGGTGGGCTTTAACCAAGCATTTCAATATGATGCTTAGCAGACATATTTTTATTATAGCGTTCATTCAGAAATAATTCTAAGAACCCAATATTATAGTTTGTAACAGCTATAGTCAAGACTGGGACACTATAATCTCCTACAATATAATTAAATGTATTCATTGTTTTAATCTTGATCTTTTATCAACATAAGTATTATTGTATTGTTGTTGAATAGCATTAAGTAGTAGGCTCATTGTCACTAGTGGCAACATTTTATAAATGTTTATTGTACAACAAATTGAACTTAAAACTATTAGAGATTAGTACGGTGATTCTCAACCAGTGTGCCGCAAAATTTTGAACGGAACACTAAAAAAATTGGAAAAACATGTGGTCCCAATTGAGTCTTCATTTGTGTCTACTGATAAGTTCATAGCTGTGTTTTTCTGTATTTAGTTTGAGTCATTCTATGTGTCTATGACTAGTCTCTGTCTACGGTTGTATGCCATCTGACTTACCATGTTTTTATGTTGCAAAATTCAAACATTTTTCATATAAATTTAGCCAGGTGTGACGCTATTTTTTCATGTGTTCCAAAGTGTGCCGTTGGCAAAAAAAGGTTGAGAACCACTGGATTAGTATCTTGACAACAAAGTCATATAAATTACACTCAAGTTCATTATAAAGACATATTTTAATTATTTAAAGAATGCACATCATATTGTTCATTCCTTTTTAGTTGTTATTCGATTTTAATGTTGTTGCTGCTTGAATAAAATCATATCCAGATTATACAGTTGTTCCTTGTTTATGGAAGTAACCCACTAGGTTACAGTACCTTATATGTGGAATAGCCCAGAGGTGTCTCTTCACGGACCAAAATAGAGGGTCTCTACTCTGGTCATTACAACTAAACAGTCATGTGGTGATTAAATTATAAGCGCCGATTTAATTAAATAATAATTTCATATCGACATTCAATGAACAAACAAAATAAAAACAATCAATAAATATTTTGGGTAAACTAACTCGTTTTTGCTTTGTTTGAGTTGGTGGTGATTTTACAGCATCTTGTTGTATCGGTTGTGCTGCCTGACGGTTTTGTGCCGCCGTTAACGATGGTGACGGATCTTCATCTGTTTCATTATCACTAGGTTTCACACCCTAAAATATCAAATATTGGAATTAGTAATCTATCATATTATCACTGTGTCTATTTATAATAATATCAAATTCACATGTTTCGTTTTTATAGTTCAAAATTTTGTTTTATTTGTCTTTACTACACTAGGATCTGGAAGAGTTGTTATATAACTCAGCTCACTTAAAAATTTTCAAGGCAATTTTCACATCCTGCTGCTGTAATATATTCATATATTTTAACTTCTGGCCTCCCAAATTGGGCCCCACATTTTCTACAACTGGCCCTGCTGACAAGAAAGATTGCTGCTCTTGTCCTGTATTGAGACTTATGTAATCTTGCAATTTAACTCACTAGTTAATTTTGATGGGGAGCCATGGTGGCAAAGTTAGTAAGACGCAGGCTCGCTAGCCTGGAGGTCCCGTGTTCGATCCCTGCATTGGCCGAGAAAGTTAATCAGGATTTTTCGTAGTCCTTTGGATGGGACAAAAAAAAAATGAGGTTCTGTGTACACATTGGCATGCACGTAAAAGATCCCTTCGCAGTTGGAATTCGATACAAGAGTAGGCCAAAGTGCCACTGCCCTGGCAAAATTTCCCTCATAGCAAAAGGCCTGTCTTGATTAGCCCAGTTCAGATCAGAACAGTAGGATGTTAAACCCCATATATTTCTTTTTGACTGACAGTTTTATGTATATTTTGTGTTTCTATGTAAACAAGAAATATTATAAATCAATATTTTGAGTTTTCATGGTTAATGAACTGAATAATTGTATTTTTAGTCCATCTGTGACCATTCTGAGTGAATTTGGATGAAATAGAAGTAAATATGTTTAACTTCGTCCTTGTCTGCATGGGAGCCACGGTGGCTAAGTGGGTAAGACGCTGCCTCGCTAGCCTGGGGGCTGTGTGTTCGATCCCTGCATTGGCCAAGAGAGTTTATTAATATTTTCCAGTGTTGTTTTCCTTTGTCAGTGATGTAGGACGGAGAGTCTGACAATGATAGCTATCTTGTCGTTCGGTTTTGTATTGAAGGATCTCTAAATGCCATAATTTCTACGGGGGTCACGATGGCTAAGTGGGTAAATGAAATGAAATGAAATGAAATGAAATGGGGTTTAACGTCCTACTGTTTTGCTCCGAACTGGGCTAATGAAGACGGGCACAATACAGTGTGCTATGAGGGAAATTTTGCCCCGACAGCGGCACTACGGCCTACTCTTATATCGAATTCCAACTGTCAAGGGATCTTTTCTGCGTACACCGGACCTCAGTTTTTCATCCCATCCGAACGACTAGACAGCTTTCCTTGTCAGCCCCTCCGTCCTGCATCACTGACAAGGTTAATTCTCCTTTCCATTTAGGCCAGACTCGAAGTTACTTCTTCTTTTCATTTGTACCAGACTTGATAAAAGTTAATTACAATTCACGCTTACCCCTAATATTGTTCCTTCACCTTTCCATGAAGGTGACAAGAATTTTTGATATTCCTCCTCTTTACGTCTTAATTTTTCTTTCTCTCGGGGTATGAGTATTCTTTCACTGTAACTTGCTGCCTGTAATACACAAATGAAATGATGTGCTATGGGCAAAATCCAACCTTATGGGTTTTCTCCAGGTCCTCCGGTTTCCTCCCACTGCTAAAAAACCCTACGTGCAAGCAAATTATTGAAATAAAATTAAAACCATATGTTAGTCCGAAATGACCTAGTTTGTGTCGAGTGGACGTTAAACTCCATTTCTCTGTCTCTCTCGCTATGGGGAAAATTTGCCCGGACAGTGGCACTAAGTCCGACTCTAGTTTCCATATTCCATATTTAATCGAAAGCTGCTCGAAAATTTGAAGTGTTTTCGATGCATTTTATGCTTAACTTCATTCCAATATTTTGCTTGAATATTGGAGAAAACCTCTGGGGAATTATTGAAAAAGACCCCTACGCGCAAGCAAATTATTGAAAAAAATAAAAATTGAACCATATGTTAGTCCCAAAATTACCTAATTTGTGTCGCGTGGACGTTATAAACTCTTTCTCTCTCTCTCTCTCTCTCTTGCTCACTTTCTCTCTCTCTCTCACTCACACACATATCCATTAGATAAAGTACAAGTACTTCTATGTTTACAGTAGATAAATAAAAGATACATCCAGGTAAAATATCTTCATTATAATTTTGTGTTTATCATAATAGAAACATATTTCACATATTTAATCCATACTGAATGGTACTCAAATTGATTAAATACGTTGGGAACTGGGGGAAATTGTTTTAAATATTATATTTAAATGGCTGCTTCCGTTAAAACTTTGTATTTGAGATATTTGGAGGTTTATAAGGTTCAATATTGTTATCCACTTCTTCTTTTCTTGCCCATCTTATTCAGCTATCAGAATCAAACTATTAAATTCATTAAAGGTATTCACAGAAACTGTTACAGGGTTCCCGTGGCTTCGTCAATCATTATTTCAAGGATATTCAAGGATAAATATACGTCAAATTCAAGGATTTTCAAGGACATTTTTTAGCCTAAAGTTACAATTTTTCATCTTAAAAATAAACAAAACATTACCAACTATCGTTATAATCTCATATTTAAAAGGAATTGAAGACATTTGAAACAAAATTAAGGATTTCAGCTGAAATTCAAGGATATTTTCCTATTTCTGCGAAATTCAAGGATATTCAAGACCTTGAAAATGAAATTTTAAATTTAAGGATATTCAAGGATTTTCAAGGACCTCGGGAACTCTGTATTAATCTAGATCTAATTTTAAATGGCTATACAGATCTTTCGAACACCTCTAATATTTTGATTTTTGAAGCAGTCCATAATTTTATAAAATATACCAAAAGGTTTTGATTCGCTATTACATATTGTTGTATAATATTAAATAATTGCATCGTATATATCATTTCCACATGAAACTGTATATATGTTCGGTTTTACAATTTATTATATTTAATCTTATTTTAATGTATATGTTTATATTTATCGTTTATTATTTTCTGTATCCCTGGGAAAGAACTTATATAGGCTTTGCCTGTTGTTCAATCCTTTTCAAATTAATAAAATATTCATAATAACACAACTTTATGGATTTACTACTTCTTGGTTTATTACATGCAACGTTTCAATACTCTTACAGGTATCTTTATCTTGCTTGATAAAGATACCTGTAAGAGTATTGAAACATTGCATGTAATAAACCAAGTAGTAGTAAATCCATAAAGTTGTGTTATTATGAATATTATACCTCTATTTCTAAATGTCATTTAAGGATATAATAAAATATTGTTTAAACTAATATTTTTAAGTTTGTAGATAACCATAATACAGTATGTTCTATCAGGAACACCATAGAAAGACTGGATGTAATAATGTTCTATGAAATAATAACTATACTATTCAAAAAAAGTAGGGGATATTTGATTTTTAAGTGTTATTAAAGTCACCTAATGAAACTGACGAAGAAACAAATGACAAAATGAAATGAAGTTCACGTTCATCGATTTATTCCAAATGATCGTTAGACTAAGTAAGGCACAGACTGACCATTATAAGGGTAAAATGATAGCCGGGGTCAAACAGCAAAGTTACCACAGCATCACAACCAAGTCAGTAACGGGTAAATCCTCCTCTGTTTGCCAAACAAGCATTGATCCGACGTGGCTTACTCCTAATGAGACGTCTAAGGTCATTTTGGTCCAGATTGTCCCATTCCTGTTGCAACGCAGCAGCAAGTTCTTGGACATTGGCAGGACATTGTTGACGTTGACATAACCTCTGTCCAAGCATGTCCCAGACATGCTCGATGGGGGAGAGGTCGGGACTCAGTGCTGGCCAAGGTAATGTGGTGAGGTTCTGTTGTTGGAGGTAACCTGTAACGATCCTGGCCCTGTGACATCTTGCGTTGTCATCCTGGAAGATGAAACGGCGGCCATGACGTCGTGCGAACGGCACAACATGGACTGCCAAGATGTTGTCCCGGTAGTACTTGCCTGTAACACGCCCTGCAACAACATGTAAAGCCGTTCTTCCAGCAACAGTGATGCCTCCCCGCACCATAACAGAACCACCCCCAAATCGATCATGTCTGATGACGTTAACGTCTTGGAAGCGCTCGTTTCGACGACGCCACACCCTCCTAGGTCTGTCCAAAAAATCAACAGTGAACCTTGACTCATCTGAAAACATCACATTGCTCCAGCGTCGATTATCCCAGTGTTGAAGATCCCTACACCAAAGACGTCTTGCCTGAATGTGATGATCTCTCAAACAAGGGATCACGCGAGGACATCGGGCGCGAAGGTGACCCCTATGCAGTTGATTCCGAATCGTCTGGCCACTCACTCTCACACCAGTGTCTGTTTGAAGACGAGCGCTGATCTGATTTGCTGTGATGACACGATTTCTCAAGGCCAAGGTACGGATAAATCGATCCTGGGCTTGAGTTGTCGCCCTTGGTCGACCTGAGCGTGGTCTGTCCTGTACAGATTGTGTATCACGGTATCTGGACCATAGCCTGCTTATGACAGACTGAGAAACATTCATCGTCCGCGCCACAACCGCCTGTGTTGTGCCGATCTGTAGCATGCCAAGGGCACGTAACCTTTCATTTTGGGTAAGCCGACGCATATCAAAATTTGTTTTCTGGTCACTAAAACAATTAAACTGATGTTTCCACCCTGGAATTCAATGCCACAATGACTGTAACATTCAAAGTCAGAGTCGTGCAAATCTTGGGTTGGACCCCCATGATGATCCCAAGCATCACCTGCATTCCATGCGGTAGCTATTGGTGTGTTTGGGCGTCACATGTAACTGGAAATGTTTCTTCTGTTAGGTTCTATAGTGACTTTTTTCGTAGTCATTTGCATATTTTAGTATTATGCCCCCAAAATCAAATATCCCCTACTTTTTTTGAATAGTATATATTACTATTTCATCAAAAACCGGAGGCTTCTTATAACAGTTTTATACATTATTGTAACATGCTCAAGGGTAAATCTTGCGTTTTGATTGGTTAATTAGACACTGTCGATTGGACAATAACACCCCTCTGTTTTAGTAATTTTCTTTTAAATTACTAACGTGTCTTGGGTCCTAATGATCTCAGGACATGTCTATTGGACAATAACACCCCTCTAAATGCGGAACAGGAGGTGTTTATCTCCTAAATAACAGTTTTATAAATTAAGTTTTTTTGTTTTTATAGAAATATTGTTATTTGTTACTTTTACAAAGACATGCAGGACAGAGGGACTGACAAGCACAGCTGTCTTGTCCTTCGGATGGGATGAAAAACCAAGGTCCTGTGTAAGACGCTGGCTCGCTCGTCTGGAGGTCGCGTGTACCATCCCTGCATTGGGACTTTCCGGTGTGGTTTCCCCTCATCAGTGGTGCAGAAAAGAGGGCCTGGCAAGGACAGCTGTCTTGTTCTGCGGATGGGATGAAAAACCAATGTCCAGTGTACTCATTGGCATCCATGTAAAAGATCCCTTGGCAGTTACAATTCAATCTATAAGAGTAGGTTGTAGCACCGCTGTCTGGGCAAAACTTCCCTTACAGCACACATGTATGCCCATCTTCATTAGCCCAGTTCGGAGTAGTAGGATGTTAAACCCTATTTCATTTCATCTTTTTAAGACTGGACCGTTTTTTATAAATGAATGATTAACAATATTGCTACTGGACTTGGGTTTTTATAAAATAATAAAAACATTGTTACTTTTCAATGGCATTTAGTAATTGAACTGGAATATACAGGTGACATTTCTATGGAATACAATTACTGCTTATTACTGAGTGACGTTTCAACTAGGCTTCTCTGGTTGATCCGCATTAACCAATCAACAGCATTCTTGTTTTCATGTATATATTGTCTTGTTAAAGTTTCATATTTTATCATTGCATGATAACGACTAGAGAAGCCTAGTGGAAACAGAAGATAAGCAGTAACTGTATTCCATAGAATTGTCACCTGTATACTTTAATATACAGGTCACAATTCTATGGAATACAGTTACTGCTTTTTACTGAGCGACGTTTCGATAGCTTGATAATGACTAGAGAAGCCTAGTCGATACGTTGCTCAGTAAAAAGCAGTAATTGTATACCATAGAATTGTTACCTGTATACTCTAGTTCAATTACTAAATGCCATTGAAACAATTTACACTGTATAGTTTAAGATGATGTTAGATCATAGCCTATGATTCACTGGGTAGATTATTAGTGAGATCAGTAAACAGAAGATAGTATATAGTCAGTTACATGTGTCAGCATTAAAACTACTAACCACAATAATGTTTACATATATTATAATACAGGTTACTAGTTTATAACAGGACATATATCCTTGAACGAATTCTGTGGTTTTATATCACAGATATTATAAGTGCACTGTAGTGTGAAATATGTTTCTATTATAATATACACCAAATCATAATGAAGATATTTTACCTGGACGTATCTTTTATTTATCTACCTGTAAACATACAAGTACTTGTACTTTATCTACTTTAGAGAGAGAGAGAAAGAGAGAGAGAGAGAAAGAGAGAGTTAGTTTAACGTCCACTCAACACAAATTAGGTAATTTCTGGACTAACATATGGTTTTATTTTATTTCAATAATTCGCTTGCACGTAGAGGTCTTTTAGCGGTGGAAGGAAATCAGAGGACCCGGAGAAAACCCATGAGGTTGGACAGGCAACCCTTTTTCTTGTCAAGTAAAACCGGGGAATCGAAACCACGCCAGTTGACTCAATGATAGACCTTATTATACAACGCGACCATCCGACCCCCAACTTTACATTAAGTATACAACAGACCCCCTTCAAGAAAATATATACAACTGATAACAAACTATGTGTCTAATATATTTTGAATAACTTTACACCATAGAAAATAAAATAATAGGTAAAAAACGTGAGTCTACGTAAACTACAGTCTTTAGTGCAATCACTATCTCAAATAACACAACATTATACAAATGACTTTATTGTACACATAATTATTATGTGCACTGATCTAAAATTAAAATCTATAAATGTATCATGGAAGGTAGCCTATATAAATATATATATATTGAACAATTGGAATGCTTGTTAAAATTTGGTTTATGTTCTTCAAGGAAAAAAGCAATTTTTAAAAAAAACAAAGATAGGTTGCCCGGCAATGAAACATACGTCCACAGCAAGTTGTCCAAGCAGTCCACAATGGATGTTGTATATTTATTCTTTCTTGGGTAATAGAAGCATTCACTTGACACAAACTAGGTCATTTCGAATCTAACATATATATATATGGTTCAATTTTATTTCCATAATTAGCTTGCGCGTAGGGGTCTTTAGCAGTGGGAGGAAACCGGAGGACCCTGAGAAAACCCACGAGGCTGGACAGGCGACCCTTGTCCTTGTCACGTACAACTGGGGATTCAAAACCACGCCAGTTGACTCAATGACAGACTTAATGATACAGCGCGCACATGCTAACCACTAAGCCATCCAACCCTCCATAGTCTTTACAAAACAATATATTAATTTTTAGATATGGCGGCCATTCAGGGCAGAGATTTATTCTTGAAGTATATAGCTCTCTGTGTGCAGAATGGTGAAATTAAAATTATAATTTCTGTGCCTCGTGATGTACATAAAAACTCTCTATATTGAAATAAAGTAATAAACTGTAGTACATCAGACATGAATTATATCATTATAACGTTAAATATATATATAAAAAACAAGATCAAACACTGGATTTATTGATTCAACAGACTTGACAACATGTGGGATAATAAAAAAAAGTGGAGAGAGAGAGAGAGAGAGAGAGAGAGATGGGGAGAGAGAGAGAGAGGGAGGGAGAGAGAGAGGGAGAGAGAGAGAGAGAGAGAGGTCTTTAGCAGTGGGAGGAAACCGGAGGACACAGAGAAAACCGACAAGGTTGGACAGGCAACCCTACTCCTAGTCATGTAAAACCGGAGAATCGAAACCACACCAGTTGACTCAATTATAGACCTTATGATACAAAATGCACACGCTAATCCTTCGGCCATCCAACCCCTCAATAAAAATGGCAACATTGTGCCCAGTTTAATATGGCTCTGTGAATTTAAGCCGCTGGCTCACTTACCATAATGTCAATAGCGTGTGCATAAAAGAACTACTTACAGTTGGAATTTAATAGAAATGAAATGGGATTTAACATCCTACTGTTCTGCCCCTACTGGGATAATTAAGATGGGCATACGCCATACAGTGTGCTATGAGGGAAATTTTGCCCAGACAGTGGCACTACGGCCTACTCTTATATCGGATTTCCACTGCCAAGGGATTTTTTACATGCACACCAATGTATACACGGGTCCTCGGTTTTTCTGTTCCATCCGAACGACTAGACAGCTGTCCTTGCCAGGCCCTCTGTTCTGCACCACTGATGAGTGGAAACCACACCGGAAAGTCCCAATGCAGGAATGGTACACGCGACCTCCAGACGAGCGAGCCAGCGTCTTACCCACTTAGCCACCCTGGCCCTGGAATTTAATAGCATCTCTGGATCCTAAACAGGGACACAGCCTCCATTAACCAACATATCTTGACAGTAAAAGTACCAACCTTTTCTAAATGTTCTTCTTGTTGAGTGGATCGGATTTTGTCCTGGTTTAATTTATGCTTTTCTGAGGCTTGTAATTCTATATCCAAAAAAATAAATAAATCCCTAAATTGAATACCAATTCAAAAATGGTCTGTTCAATATTTTTCAGTGCCATTTGTACTTACAAAGATACGACAAATTCAAAATTCAGAGGATCAACTGCAGAGACGATATAATAGGAAGTGGTCCAAACAAGCAAAATTTAAATGCCTATAATTTCCACTAAAATCTTTTGATGGCCCTTTTATTTAAAGTGAGAGAGAGAGAAATGGGGTTTAACATCCGCTCGACACAAACTAGGTCATTTCCGGACTAACACATGGTTCAATTTTTATTTCAATAATTCGCTTGCATAGGGGTCTTTAGCAGTGGGAGAAAATCGGAGGACCTGGAGAAATCCCACGAAGTTGGACAGGTGACCCTACTCCTTGTCACGTACAACCGGGGAATCGAAACCCCGCCAGTCTACTCAATGACAGACCTTATTATACAACGCGCACGCGCTAACTATTCGGCCATCCAACCACCAAACAGTAGACTTATTTATTTTTCAAGACTTGGACTAACTAAATATTGAATTACTTTGGCCTAATTAACCGTCAAAAGATTCTAAATCCATTAACTGATATTGCCATTAATTAAAAACCAATTAGTAACTGATAATCAGTCAGGTATGCTAATTACTGTCTGGAAGAAAATGAAACAAAATAAAATGAGGAAAATATTTGCTCAGAAAGTATTCATGGCTTGCAATCATGGGATAGTATCCATACCAAGGACGAGGCAGATGCATAATGCAATGGAACACCTGAAACAGTTTGACCCATACTGATCAGCATTGAATATTCGCTAGGCCTCTACAATCACTGATAGGGATGACATCGGTTGGGCTTAATGAACCCACAATATTAAAGGACAATATTGGTGCCAGTCATTATCACATATGTGATACAGCTGGTTAAACACATTCCAAATATAATTTTAACACAGAGATCATTGCTACGATAGCTGAGTAATACAGGTTTCCTGAATCGGAAGTGACGAACGTCAAAGGAAAACATGAGTCATACATCTATATAACTGACTGATGTGACAAGTGATAACAAATACACGGTTGAATTTCTGCTCACTAATAATTCCTTCCAAGACCAAATTTAATTCATTTTTTTTTTAAGAATTAGAAAAATAAATAAAGACGTTTGAAGTATTTGTAGGTAAAAATTATTTCCTATTTAGTGTAAATGGGTATTAAATTGAGTAAAAGACTCCATTCTGCCCAAACCAGTAATGTTTTATTTAAACAATATAAATGCACACACCATTTAGCCAATGATCGCCGCTGTGTGATGTGACATCACCTGTGCAACTTAAAGGCTCAATACCACTCTTGTTGTAACTGAATAATATGTCCCAATCTTTATTCTGGTCAGGGGGGTTGGATGGCTGAATGGTTAGCGTGCGCGCGCTGTATCATAAAGTCTGTCATTGAGTCGACTGGCGTGGTTTCGAATCCCCGGTTGTACGTGGCAAGGAGTAGGGTTGCCTGTCCAACCTCGTGGGTTTTCTCCGGGGCCTCCGGTTTCCTCCCACTGCTAAAAAAATATGTTAGTCCCGAAATGACCTAGTTTGTGTCACGTGGACGTTAAACCCCATTTCTCTTTCTCTCTCTCTCTTATTCTGGTCAACAAATTGTACTATTTTACAATATTCCAATTAATTGATGATACAAATTTCATCTTAACACACCTAATTTAAAAAATTGGAAAAATTCAACTAAATGATTTGAAAAGCCTGACGTCAAGCTTTTCAAATGTGACTTGGATTTAAAAATAGTTTTGAACCCACTGGACAAGTAAAATAGGATTTAATGGATAATTTACACAACAGGTAGGACACTAACACATCTAGTACTTAGAATAAGGCTATTTTTTATTTTCTGAAGCTGTCAAGCCAGCAAGAGTGTTATTGTTCCTTTAAAGCCTTGTGATGTGATGTCACATGTTGAAAGCAGTCATCTTATACAGAGTTATTAGAAGACTTTTGCAATACCTCTGTGAAACTGATTGAGTTACCTTGAATATCTTGTGATTCTGACGATTTGGTATTCCTACACAGTAGTTTCTCTATACGTGGTTTAAGCCATTGAATGATGAAAGAAAGTAGTCCGAGCAATAAAAATGTTTGTCCAACCAATCGTAACAATGACGGAGTATCCAATGCTGAAATATAATAAAAAAAAGACATGCCTTGAATTGAAACAACAAGGTTTAAAGCAGGATATTGAAGACATGTATATACAGTCCAGTCCTATGAGGGACATTTTGCCTGGACAGTGGCACCAAGGTCAACTGGGGGATCACGGTAGCTATAAGTGGGTAAGACGCTGGCTCGCTAGCCTGGAGGTTGGGTGTTCGATCCCTGCATTGGCTGAGAAAGTTCATCCAGATTTTGCCAAGACAGCGGCGCTACTGCATACTCTTATATCGAATTCCAACTGTCAGGGGATCTTTTACGTGCATGCCAATGTGTACAGGGGACCTCGGTTTTTTGTCCCATCAAAACAACTAGACAGCTGTCCTTGTCAGGCCCTCCGTCCTGCACCACTGACAAAGGGAATCCACGTCTGAATATCCCACTGAAAACAAAATATAGGAATACCTTATGTATCTAAACAAAATATAGGCCTACTTAATGCACCTGAACAAAAAATGTTAAAAGTTGCAAGTCACTGTAAGAATTATGAAATATTTCATCATACGCGTAATGATGTTTTGTATATGAAATATTTCGATAATGGTGCCATATGTGAGAGAAATGTCACAGTAAAACTGTAAACAATGGTCATTGATTGACCCACTAACAGCTGCATCATATAAATACAAAGTTTCATCATCATTTACTGGCAAAATATTTACAGAGAGAGAAAAAATTGGGTTTAACGTCCACTTGATTCAAAGTTTCATCATTATTTACCGGGGAAAATATTTACACAGGGAGAAAAAGCAGGTTTAAAGACCAAGTTTGAAACAAACTGGTTCATTTTGGGACTAACATAAAATTCCCTCTGTTATCGAGGCCTTAGAGTCTCTGTCATTTACCGTTTTATGACAACATCAATTTATAAATGGAGAAGCAAGGCCAAGACTCGGCTGACCAGTACTGTGGTTATGATCAATGCACACATCTTGTCAAAACTACAAACAGTGATAACTTCGCTCAAAATAAAGTAATTTCAATGAAATTTTCAAGATATTCATTTTCCATTATCTATTTTTGAACTATTATAGCAAGAACAACCTGCTCTTAACCTAAATCTTACATAATGTATCTTTAAACATACATTATGCAAGAGCTAAATCTGCCAATTGCAGGTCTTTCTTTAGGTCTGAAATGTTATCTAAATTATTAATTAGACATTAATTAACTTATCCAGACCATAATCAACTCTCGACAGCATCGCTAGCCTGTGATATTTACTGGATTATGATCTCATTTGCTGCTTGACTTCCATTCATAATTTAATCATGAAATGGATGATCGAGACTATGTTTTTTATCGTACAGACTTTAGTAATGATGATCGAGGCTAGGCCGAAATTTCAATTGCTCAATTCTTTGTTCATAGTGGATCAATTTGACTGAAATTTTCAGCAAATTGCCTATACATTATCTAGTTTTTAACTATTATAGTGAGAACTGTCAGCTCGTTATCTAATCTCCCATAATGTATCTTTAATAAAACAAACTAAAAATGTCAAAGATAGATAATCTCTCGACTTAATTGGCTTCAATTGAATGGAAATATTTTACTCATCAAAATATTTTACTCAACACTGACCAACACTTATATACACATGGTATTAGTGCATATTATATGCATAATATCTTTGTAAATACTAAACAGAATGAAATCATTTTTAACTTGTATTCCTTTTAGCAATTCAACCTTCACAATATTGTAGTTTGCAAGGGATTATTGCAACAATCCCACAAATTCTAAATTTGAATGAAAAGTGCAAAAGTGCAACTCTTGAACATGAACAATAGGTTTTTTTTAACGATGTTATGTTAAAGAAATATTTCCATGAAAGTATTTATCCGGTAGTTATTTCCAATAAAAGTATTGCATATTTGATATATACATGTATATGGAGAGTAGCTAAGACACACTCAATCTTACCAGAAAAATATTGGATTCTTGCAATCAAAATGTTTATAGAGGGATTTAAAGCAAACTTTTCATAAACAAATTAGTCAAATATGTTTTTAGTCCAAATATATCATCAAAGGACACAGTTTGTACATGGGGAAGGTATCTTTAAATATATCATCAAATTACACAGCACATGTGGGAAGGTATCTTTAAATATATCACCAAATCACATGGGAAGGCATCTTTAATTATATCATCAAATCACCCAGTTTGTATGCGGGAAGGTATCTTTAAATATATCATCAAATTACACAGTTAGCACGCGGGAAGGTATCTTTAAATATATCATCAAATCACACAGTTTATACATGGGAAGGCATCTTTAAACATTACAAGCAAAAGACTTTAATGTGTACCGGTATTATAACCTTAAATTTAATAGACTTGATTGTCATGCCAAATTTTAATTTACGTACAGAACAGAGGTCTTCATGATAGAGAGAGAGAGAGAGAAATGGGGTTTAACGTCCACTCGACACAAACTAGGTCATTTCGGGACTAACATATGGTTTAATTTTATTTACATAATTCGCTTGCGCGTAGGGGTCTTTAGCAGTGGGAGGAAACCGGAGGCCCCGGAGAAAACCCACGAAGTTGGACAGGCGACCCTACTCCTTGCCACGTACAACCAGGGATTCGAAACCACGCCAGTCGACTCAATGACAGACTTTATGATACAGCGCGCGCACGCTAACCATTCAGCCATCCAACCCCCTTCATGATAGAGACTACAGATATATATTATGCACATTATCTATTTTTTAATACTAACAACATTCAATAGATCTCCCCATTATAAACGTACAATATACATGCACCTGTTACCTTGACAATAAACTTAACTTCTAACTGTGCCACATCAAACAACCACTGTTACTTTATTATATTTCTTTATTTAAAGTGGCTTTACCAGTTTACCCTCAGATAAATTTTATAAAACAGTTTGCTTGTGGGTTCGCCATTTGAACTAATAAATTTTAGAAGAGAAAGAAAGAGAGAGAGAGAGAGAGAGAAATGGGTTTCAAGATCAACTCCATACAAACTAAGTCATTTCGGGACTAACACATGGTTCAATTTTATTTCAATAATTGCTTGCGCGTAGGGGTCTTTACATAGAAGTGGGAGGAAACCCGAGGACCATGAGAAAACCCACACAGTTGGACAGACGACCCTACTCCTTGTCGCGTACAAGTGGGGAGTCAAAACCACGCCACTTGACTCAATGACAGGCCTTCTGATCCAAGTGCACACGTTATAACCATTTGGCCACCCAATTCCCCAAGAACATTAAATAAATATAAACATATTCTACACTCCCAAATATGATATATACATATATATATCAGTGTGTACATGTAAACAAACACATCATGGGGAAATCCTGTATTTAAAACGAAAAGGCACATCCTAGTTTTGAGGTAACAAAATGAAATGGGCTAATGAAGACAAGCATACGCCATTACAGTGTGCTATGAAGGAAATTTTGCCTGGACAGCAGCACTACGGTCTACTCTTATATCGAATTCCAACTGTCAAGGGATCTTTTACGTGCACGCCAATGTGTACACGACTAGACAGATGTCCTTGACAGGGCCACCGTCCTGCATCACTGACAAGGGGGAACCACACCAGAAAATCTGGATAAATTATCTCGGCCAATGCAGGGATCGAACACCTGACCTCAAGGCTAGCGAGCCAACGTCTTACCCACTTAGCCACCGTGATCCCCCTTGAGGTAACAACTTGGTTAATAGAGAGAGAGAACGAAACTAGACTAAGGATAGAGAGAGAGAGAGAAAGAAAGAAATAAATGGGATTGGACATCCCCTCAACACAAACTAGATCATTTCACGCCTAACATTTGAATATGGTTCAATTTTCCACGACTAAAGACCACTACGCGCAAGCAAATTATTGAAATGAAATTGTATCATATGTGACCCATTACCTTGAAATGGGTACAGTGGTAAGTAGCAATTTGGTCATATTGACTCGTGCTCATAATCACATTCCTTGGGCTCCATGCTTCATTCACGGCTCCATATCATGTTCGATGGCCGAGATATCGTCAAGTATGTCCTGGTCAATTGGAGAGAATTTCAAAACCAGATTTTGAGAAAATCAATGTTAAAAATGAATTATTGAAAAATAAAATTTCCTTAGCAACCAACATTTCATACTAACGATTTCACTACTAAATTAATAATTTCTATTCACAGGCGGAGCTATATCAAACAGTAATTATCTTTACATTTTTATTGGGGGGTAGGATGGCCGAATGGTTAGCACGTAGTGTTATATGATTCATAAGGTCTGTAATTGAGTCAACTGGCGCCTGTCCAACCTCGTGGGTTTTTCTCTGGGACCTCTGGTTTCCTTCCACTGCTAAGACCCCTACGTGTAAGCGAATTATTGAAATAGAGAGAGAGAGAAATGGTGTTTAACGTCCACTCGACACGGGACTAACATATGGTTTAATCTTATTTCAATAATTCTCATTTTTATTATAATTGCTATTTTGAACTAGTTTGTATCAAGTGAAGATTAAATCCCATTTCTCCCTCTTAGGACCATCCCACCTACACATTTGGTGAGCTTGATCCAGAACTTTCTGAATGGACTGAAATATTATGTAAACATTTCAAATACACCATGACTCAGCTATTTCTTTCTTTATTGGAGAATGAATAGGATATTTAAAATATTATTATAAAAATCCACAATAAATAGAGGATATTTGTCGTTTTGTCGTGAATAACATATCTTATTTCATCGAGAAGCAAGAAAACTTACATTTTCACGAATGCGTATCATGAGTGAAAATATAAACGTTTTCTTGCTTAGAGATGAAATAAAATTTGTTATTCACGACAAACCGACAAATGTTCTATTTATTTTATGATTTTACAATCATTTTAGGGAAAAACAACATGGACTACTGCTAGCCAGTGGAATAACACTTTTATTTCACTGATAAAACGCGGTATTCCACTACTGATCATAAAATAAATTGTAAGATTGTTGTGTTCTTTGTACTATATGGAGAGAGAGAGAGAGAGAGAGAGAGAGAGAGAGTTTAAAGTCCACTCGACACAAACCAGGTCATTTCTGGACAAACATATGGTTTAATTTTATTTCAATAATTCGCTTGCGTGTAGGGGTCTTTAGCAGTGGGAGGAAACCGGAGGACCCGGAGAGAACCCACGAGTTTGGACAGGCGACTCTACTCCTTGTCACATACAACCGGGGAATCAAAACCATGTGAGTTGACTCAATGACAGACCTTATGATACAACAAGCACACACTAACCATTCGGCCATCCAACCCTCCCCCTTGTGCTATATAGTCTGAAACCTCAACCACACGATATATTCGACATTGGCCCCTGAATCCATTCACTTGATTGGATATTCGTTGTTTATTTCTTGCTCCGTCTGTGTAGTGCGATCCCAGTGCACTTATTATTTGACAGGATGTTCACCTGGGGCCATCGTCTCCCCTGTCCCGATCTCTGCACGACACTGGGAAAACCACGCTGGAAAATTCTGATAAACTTTCTTGGCCAACATCGAGAGGGAACCTGCGACCTCCAGGCTAGCGAGCCAGCGTCTTACCCACTTAGCAGCCGCGGCTCCTGAGAACGTGTACATAAAACAAAACAATTCTGGACAGAATACATTTGTCAGCAATATCACGATGGATCGGAGAGGGCAATAACTCCGATGATAGTACAATAGCTAGCAGGACAGAATACATTTGTCAGCGATATCACGATGGATGGAAGAGGGCAATAACCCTGATAATAGTACAGTAGCTAGGAGGACAGCAACAAGTCATATGATAACAAAGTACGTCTATCAATGGATAGTGTGTTGACCTCTGACCTCTGACCCCCTGACATCCACGATATCTGATTAGTAAAATATGACGTCTAGATAAGCTATAGGTCATACACTATTTTCTTCTGACGGTGTCAAGACTTCTGCAGTCAAAAAGATATTTTATAAACCTGCTGAAGTGAATATCTTAATAATAAAATCTTAAGCCTTCTACATTTTGTTCTTATAAGCTCTCAAGACTTCTGCAGTCGAAAAGATATTTTATAAACCAGCTAAATGTCTCAATATTAAAATCTTAAGCCTTCTATATTTTTGTTCTTATAAGCTTTCAAGACTTCTGCAGTTGAAAAAATATTTTATAAACCAGCTAAATGTCTCAATATTAAAATCTTAAGTCTTCTATATTTTAAATGAAATGAAATGGGGTTTAACGTCCTACTGTTCTGCTCCGAACTGGGCTAATGAAGACAGGCATATACGCCATACAGTATGCTATAAGGAAAATTTTGCCCGGGCAGGAGCATTATGGCCTACTCTTATATTGAATTCCAACTGTCAAGGGATCTTTTACGCTTACTCCAATGTATACACAGGACCTTTTTTGTTTGCCCCATCCCAATGTCTAACACCTGTCCTTGTCAGGCCCTTCTTCCTGTACCACTAACAAGTGGAAGTCATGTTGGAAAATCACGATGAACTTTCTCGGCTAATGCAAGCAACCTGCAGGCTAGCGAGCCAGCATCTTACCCACTTAGCCACTGTGGCTCCTTCTATATTTTAAAACCTTTTGAATGAAATAATAATAAGATTATTAAATCTTGGTTCAATGACAGGCATTCCCAGGTTTGATCCTATTGTTTTCCCAAGAAACTTCCCCACGATTTTTCAGTGTGGTCTCCCTTGTCAGCAGGGAGAGAGAGAGAGAGAAATGGGGTTTAACGTCCAATCGACACAAACCAGGTCATTTCGGGACTAACATATGGTTCAATTTTATTTCCATAATTCGCTTGTGCGTAGGGGTCTTTAGCAGTGGGAGGAAACCGGAGGACCTGGAGAAAACCCATGAGGTTGGACAGGCGACCCTACTCCTTGTCACGTACAACCGGGGAATCGAAACCACGCGAGTTGACTCAATGGCAGACTTTATGATACAGCGCGCATGTGCTAACCATTCAGCCATCCAACCCCCCTTGTGAGCAGGGCCGGCTGTAGAAAATGTGGGGCCCAATTTGGCAGGCCCGAAGCTAACTAGGCCCTTATTAATGTTTAAGGCCAAATATTCTTTACATCACAATTAGTAATTGATTAATACATGTATACAGTTAAAAGTATTAATGGGAGTTTTACTACTGTCTGGAACATTTTTTAAGTTGGTGTGCTGCGTGGGCCCTTTCTAGTGTGTGGCCCAATTTCGGAAAATTGGTCAAATGTGCCAAAAACCGGCCCTGCTTGTCAGTGGTGAATGACATCTAGTCCTTCAAATTGGACAAAAAACTAAGGTCCTGTGTACATGCAAGTAAAGAACTCATGACAGTTCAAATTTGATGAATACTAGGTTGAAAGGCCCCTGTCCCAGCAAAATTTCCCTCATAGCCTCCCCATGGTAAGGTCTATTTGACAAGGCCAACTGCAGATTTCGTCAAATGTCACAAGGAGGTAAACAGGGCTAGCACTAACCCTAACCCACAATCTCATCAACAATCTACATGCCCTAACCCTTTATACATCTCGTGACCTTGACAAAATCTGCAGTTGGCCTTAATATTTAGTCCTGAACTCCTACCCATATTAGGCCCCTTGATGATGCAAGCCAAACCCTACTCTAGGACGTTAATAACCCCACTTCATTTGTTGCACTTATAATTAGCAGGTCTCCTGTTGGGGCTAATAATTGGAGAAAAATAAAAGGTGGGATGTTCATAAGTTATCTTTAACATATTTGGTTAATTTCAAGTCTCTATGGGAATTGCTAATTTAAGTGTTCGAAAGAGCTGTGTTAGTCCCGACTCGCCGTACGTCGCCATGTATGTATGTAGTATGTACACAAACCACATACTATCTGCAAAACACGTATCTACAACAATATTTACTAATCTATTTTCCTTATCCTAGACGTGTCTTAAGATGTATTGAAAATTATATATTTAAATCTAACCGACAACAATAACGAATTAACCCATTAAGACAAGCGATAATCCACTTACACGTAAACATCCTTAATTTCTCTACTTTTGCTTGCAGCTTATTTTCTTGTCAATGAACTAATCCCAGAGCAGTGAGATTTTCGACACGCATGGCTACGTAGTGATTAATTTAATTAGTAAATTAACTCGATTTTAATTGTGCCGTTGCGTAATGTCTTTAACGATTGTGTGATCACGTTTTGACCACAACACAAGCCCATAAGGCTATGTCCTGAATGGAAATTTTTACGACTTATTTTAATATTTCCTACTATCTTGCCTCTAACCGGATCAGTCCACAATCAGCCATTCGACGGCGATTGGCCAATAAATCTTGATAATAAAAGTCACGTGACAGAATAATTTCTATATATTTGGCTTCTGCGATACATTCTGCCTCTTTTCCATTAAGATTAGCACAAGCAAATACAGGAAAAATGTCTGTTATTAACGGCGGGGGTAATGGAGACCATTACAGCGAAATAAATCGGCATTATGCTGAAGAATGCAGTCAAGATGACATTGGAACATTCCTTTTCACATCAGAATCAGTAGGCGAAGGCCACCCAGGTAATTCATCGAAATTAATCGTAGAAATGGACAGTGCCGAGCATCGCTTTACTGTCATTAGAATGGCGGGAAGCGTAGCTAAGTTCGTCTGTTGTTGTCATTCTGCAGAGCACGTGGGCTTTGTTTACATAATAGTAATAGTAAATTTTGTGACACAGCGCTTTTCATTCATAAGACGTGTTATTCAATCGAGATGTCATCTTTCGTATATTATGCCAACATGACTGTCATGGCTAATTGTTTTAAAATTTCGTCGATTTTATGTAAAGAAAAGGCTTTCTTTTTGATACTTTCACATCTCAGCCATTTCAGGGTATTTTTCAATCATTGTTTTATGCCTGTTCGTTTTTGAAGGATGTTCCTCTCTTTATTATATTTTCTTTTGTTGACATTATAGATTTTGACAACGCTCGGAATAATTTGTAAATATTTTAATTAATTCCCACTGACTGAATAGGAATTCCATTTGAATTTTGCTTGATTGTTACTTATGATTGCCAACTATCCAACATTTATGCTCTGCACATTTTTCAAATGAATTCTTTAAAAATTTTGTCAGCAGTGCAAACTGATATTAAAAGCCCTCTTCCACTAGAATAGCTGAGATTTGTTTTTATTATTGACGCGTGAATGTCGAGTGCTGATGCAATACTTGATGTTTACTGGCTGCGTTCAAAATGCAAGAGTGATGCAATGTTTTGATTGACATGCCTTGACACTGTCAGATATTTGGATGGACCAAAGTTTTATTCTTCAAGGGGTCGACTGAAATAGTCAAGATTATGTTTATTAGAACTTTGACTGTCTTTCAGTTAATTGGTTGATCAGTTCTTGGTTCTTTGTCTTGGACTTGTTCAAAGCAGTAGAAATTGAATTTTCCGCGTGAACAGCTTGTCAGTTAAGTGAAACTCCTCCCATTATGCCTAAATCACTTGTCTTAAAGTGAAAAGAGACATTTTTTTCCATAGCAACCGATTGCTGTTAAGGTAGGTTGGCCTGGCAATTGTACAAATCAGATCTTGATGGTAAAAAAAAAATAAAACTAACGCTACTAAAATTTTAGTACTTGGTGTGAGCTACGATTTTATATTCACGAAAAGTATGGATAATATAAGTACTACCAAAGGAACTTTATGATCAATTTAGAACCAGTAGCCTAGGAAACTATTTGGGTAATTTTTGTTTTATATTAATGTATTTTATTAATTTTCAGATAAAATCTGCGATCAGGTCAGCGACGCCATTCTAGATGCTCATTTAAAACAGGATCCAAATGCCAAGGTTGCCTGCGAGACGGTTGCCAAGACCGGCATGATCTTAGTATGTGGAGAGATTACATCAAGAGCTATGGTAGATTACCAGAAAGTTATTCGTAATACAATTAAACAGATCGGGTATGATGATTCCTCTAAAGGTAAATAGAAGCTTTATCCTACAAATTATCTTAATAGTCCTTCGGATCGAACGAGAAACCAAGGTCCTGGGTACAAGTTGGAGAGTACGTAAAAGAATGCTTAAAATTCGGTATTCAAAATAAGAGACGACATCGTACCGTGGCCCGATCAAAATTGCCCTCGTTGCCATCGGCATGGTGTATGCCTGTTTGGGAGCTACGGTGGCTCAGTGGGTAGGACATTGGCTTGCTAACCTGGAAGTCTTGTGTTCGATGCCTGCATTGGCTGAGGGCCCGACACGGACACCTGTCTGGTCGTTAAGATAGGACTGGAAACCGAGATCCTGTATACAGGTTGGCATGCACGTAAAAGAACCCTTGACAGTTTGAATTCGATGTAAGAGTAGGCCGTAGTGCTGCTGTCTGGGCTTTAAACCACATTTCCTATCCGTTGGTTAGTAAATAAACCGACCCCTACTGTCCACAAAAAAGGGCATTTTCAGTGTAAATCAGTTTAACTTAAAGATACATTATGTAAAATTTAGATAAAGAACTAGCCATTCTTGCTATAATTGTTCGAAAGAAGATGATGTAAAATGAATAATTTGAAAATTTCATTCAAATTAATCTATTGCAAGTGAAGATATTAGCCTTTGAAGGTTTGACAGAGGTGTGCAATAATTTGTAGGCCTATCTCTTAAAGTAAAATACCTTGGTTGGTTATCTTTTGTTTATTTGATTCATATTACAATATAAATATTATCTAAAACAAATAAGTTTGCATATCTATCACATATTCGTAGTAGATATGGTTTTCGATATGAATCCCGATTAAAACTCGGTTGGTCTGACATGATTAAATTTGGGTTGGTCTTTGTGTACAAACATTATGAGATAATAAGTATAAGGTTAAAGATATGGAGATAAACTCTGTAGGATATGTCAAGCACATGAACACTCAGTTGTCTTAAATAACTGGTACTAGTTTACTAGTTCAAGCATCCTTGGGTCAGTACTAGGTCACTGATTATGCAAATGAGTAGTATATCATTATATGATAATATTAAAGAGTGGTCTATCGAGGGTGCTTATGTCATAAGATCTGCCATTGAGTCAAGTAGCTTGGTTTCGATCCCTTGGTTGTACATGATCATGAGTCGGGACGCTTGCCTAACATCATGAGTTGGGAACAGTCATTTAGTCAAATGGCTTCATTTCGATCCCATGCTAACGTGTGTTGAAGAGTAGGGTCATCCATCTACCCTACTTTGTGGGTTTTCTACAGGTCCTCCTGTACTCTCCAAAATACAACAAAAATAGAGGAATAATTAAACAAGAAAAGTTCCCAATGCCTCTGACTTTTAGTAATTAATGTATTTTATTTTTTTTTATTTTCAGGATTTGACTACAAGACATGTAATGTATTAATAGCCCTTGAAGAACAAAGTGTAGATATTGCTGCTGGTGTCCATGTTGACAGAAATGAAGAAGATATTGGTGCTGGTGATCAGGTATAGATACTTGTCTATTAATTTTATAAAACGGGATATATTATTATTATTATTATTATTGTTTGATTTATATAGCGCTTCATTACACGTGAAGTGTTTCTAAGCGCATATCACAAACATATACTTCAAACACACAGAAACAATCAAAATCAGGAGAACATAATTAAACACAGCTGCCTGTTAGGCGCTATTATTCAAAGGTTTATATCCAACAAATCAACCGGCTAATCTCAATATTGAACTCAGTCGAGGTATTACCTGATGAACACCTACACCAAGTAGAGTTCAAAAATAAAAACGAAGTTTAAAAGAATCAACTTCATTAACAAAAATTAAACAATCAAAAACTAAACAGATATGCTAATATATCGGTTCAGAGTGAAGCAATTTGACTGAAATTTTCAGCATATTTTGTTTTCATTATCTATTCTTTAACTATTATAGCGAGAACTGTCAACTCTTGATCTAATCTTGTCTAATATCTCAGTTCAGAGTGGAGCAATTTGACTGAAATTTTCAGCATATTCTATTTACGTTATAATCTATTTTTAACTATTGTTTGGTTATGCTGCCATTAAAACAGAAGTTCCATCTAATTGGTATATTTCAAAATTTAATGTTGACGGTAATTTTTATAATATTTCAGAGTTTTATGTTTACAATAATATTTCAGGGTTTAATGTAATTCTGGTAATGTTGACAATAAATTTTAAATTATTTCAGGGTTTAATGTTTGGTTATGCTACAGATGAAACAGAAGAATGTATGCCCTTAACAGTTGTACTATCACATCAACTTAATGCTAAAATAGCTCAATTACGTCGTGATGGGGGTTTACCATGGGCAAGACCAGACTCAAAAACACAGGTAGGCTTTCACACGTTAAATTTGAAATATTATTACCGGTTGAATTTAATGTTATAAATCTAAATTTTCTATATCAAAGAAACATCTTGACTGCCATGCTCCAATACAGTAGCCATTGGAAGCTTATTAGGATCTCCACCTCCCCTGACACCAACAAAGTTCACAAAACATTCTCAGACTGAAGTAAAGAATTTACTCAACTTTCAATCGCTGTTGATGAAAAATATCTTTGATCAAGAAATACAAAACGTTGCACATAGTTTCTTATTGATGTATTTGATACATTAAAACAACAAAAGATTTATAAATGGCTATATTTTAGTGTCTTCATTAGCCCAGTTGATGTAAAATGTAAAACCCCTTTGATTTTTGAGTATGAAGCAAGATGTAATCTTAAATGATTCAAAAACAAATTGAGAATTATTTATATCATAGGAATAGCTACTTGTTAACATTCATAAGACTTGTGGGGAAATATTTTTAAATATATTATTTTTCTCTTCCAGGTTACAGTTGAATATAAATATGTAAAGGGTGCTGCCATACCTCTTCGCGTCCACACCGTAGTTATCTCCCTTCAACACGACGAAACTGTATCGACAGAAACACTACGACAAGAATTAATGGATAAAGTTGTAAAATCTGTAATTCCTGCCAAATATTTAGACAATAAAACAGTCTATCACATTCAGCCTTCTGGTCGATTTATTATCGGAGGTCCTCAGGTAATTATTATAAATCTGATTGTTTATTTTAGGGTGACGTTTATCTATGATCATTTATTACACTAGATTTCGATTGTTTATTTTGGGGAACATGGTTTAACAGTAGTCTATAATTATTTATTAACTCTTAAGTGACCCAGAGGTTTTGATGTCATAACATCGTAAAAACCACGCCATAATGGTAATCTGTGATTAGGAGAACATTTTTGTAGCGGTCTAGACAATATCACTGTTTTATTATAATTTTTCAAGAAGAAACAGTACAAATTTTATCTGTCAAAATGTCAAACTTGAAGTAAACAAATGAGTAAAAGGTGTCTGTTTATAAGGGAAGTAACTCTCATTATGCTAGTCCACAAAAGTCGCCGTGGATACTTAACGGTAATCTTACAGGTGTAGACTAAGAGTTAAATGATAATTTGTTTATTTTAGGGTGACAGTGGGTTAACAGGCAGGAAGATTATTGTTGATACATACGGTGGTTGGGGGGCTCACGGTGGAGGAGCTTTCTCCGGAAAAGACTTCTCGAAGGTAGATAGATCTGCAGCCTATGCATCAAGATGGGTGGCTAAATCTCTTGTTAAATCTGGACTGTGTAAACGGGTTCTTGTACAGGTAAGTTGTGTAGATTATAATATACTAATGTCCAAAAGAAAGTATACACTGTGCATTTTGTGCTGCATCAACCAAAGTCGTTTTTCCATGGTATTTGGTTAGAATGACAATTTGTTTCACATTTTTATTTTGCTTAGAAATGTCCAGTTTGGACGCAAGAGAAAAACTCAGTAATGATTTATCAAATGTTTTTAATCTAAACAAAACTTAGTCATACTTTTAGTGTGTATACTTTGTTTTGGACATCAGTATATTTATATTGTATCTTAGTCTGAAAGGGACTTCAGTGGGCCTTAAAACCCATATTCTTTAATTTATCAGTTTCCTAAAATAATATAAGGCCACATGTTTTACAGAATGAATATAATAAACTAGCAGTTAAGCCTGGCGTAGCTCGGGTAGCCATAAACAGGAAATAGCATAACTCTGGAAGTGGTAGGCCACCGACACTAGGCCTATGTTACTCCCCAAGTCTAGCTACCCTGATGCACCAAATATCAGCCTGAACAGACAAAAAAATTGAGTCACAAATTAGGATAGGATAACAAGCTTGATCAGCAGAAATAAAACCGCCTCCTTATGATCCAATAAGAGGTTCTCTACTAGCAATCATATCGGCAGATCTGATCCAAATACCATTTATATACACATCGGATCGTTAGCAAGATAAACAAGACTGGGTCATACACGGTCCGAACCCCTCTTTATCAAATATTACGTAGAATTTGTTTCCATGAGATTCATTTGATCACTTATTATATATTTGTAATCAATGATATTTTCTAGTTATCCTATGCTATTGGTATCGCCGAACCATTATCCATCACCGTCTTCAGCTACGGAACATCGCACAAATCCGAGAAAGAATTACTGGAAATAGTCAAGAACAATTTTGATCTCAGACCAGGAAAAATCGTCCAGTGAGTATATTATTTTTTTAACTAAATGTTAAATTATCAAAGCGTGTACATTTCGGCCTTGGATTATTATCCATGTTCGGTATTGTCCATGAAGACGCTGGATAGCTAGGTTGGAGGTTGCGTGTTCGATCCCTGCATTGCCCGAGAAAGTTCGTGATTTTCTGTCGGAGGGCCTGAAAAAGACAGCTGTCTAGTCATTGGGATGGGATGAAAATTCAAGGTCCTGTCTATACATTGGCATGCAGGTTGGTATTTGATAGAAGAGTAGGCCATAGTGCTGCTGCCCTGGCAAAATTTCCCTCCTTGCACACTGTATGGCGAATGCCCGTCTTCATTAGCCCAGTATAGGAGAAGGATGTTAAACCCAACTTTATTTCATTTTTATACGTCCACATTCATAATGTGAACGTATTATGCCGTCGCCCCTGTCTGTGTGTGTGTGTGTGTGTGTGTGTGTGTGTATGTATGTATGTGTGTGTGTCTGTGGTTCGCCTACAGGGCGCAATTCTTCATGGATTTTCTTCAAACTTGGTATACTTATTCCTTATACCCCAAGGAAGATCCCTATTGTTTTTGGTGCATGCCCGACCCCCCGGGGCAGAGCCACGCCCATTTCTAGTATTTGTTTGTTTGTCGTCTACAGGCCACATTTCTTAACTAATAATCTTGAAACTTTGCATACACATTCTTTGTACCCTAAGGAACATCCCTATCGTTTGGGGTGCATGCCCAACCCCCAGGGGCAGAGCCACGCCCATTTTCTTTTCGTGTGTCTTTGTGTCGCCTACAGGGCGCAATTCTTCATGGATTTTCTTCAAACTTGGTATACTTATTCCTTATACCCCAAGGAAGATCCCTATTGTTTTTGGTGCATGCCCGACCCCCCGGGGCAGAGCCACGCCCATTTCTAGTATTTGTTTGTTTGTCGTCTACAGGCCACATTTCTTAACTAATAATCTTGAAACTTTGCATACACATTCTTTGTACCCTAAGGAACATCCCTATCGTTTGGGGTGCATGCCCGACCCCAAGGGGCAGAGCCACGCCCACTTTCTTTTCTTTGTATGTCTGTGTGTCGCCTATAGGCCACAATTCTTAATCAATCGTCTTGAAAATTTTTCATATGAATTGCTTATACCCTAAGTATGATCCCTATTGTTTTTGGTGCATGCCCGACCCCCAGGGGCAGAGCCACGCCAATTCCTTATATTTATTTATTTGTTTGTCATCTACAGACCGCATTTCTTAACGTATCATCTTGAAACTATGTATACTTATTCTTTGTACCCCAAGGAACATCCCTATCGTTTGGGGTGCATGCCCGACCCCAGGGGCAGACCCACGTCCATTTTCTTTTCTTTTTATGTCTGTGTGTCGCCTATAGGCCACAATTCTTAATCAATCGTCTTGAAAAATTTTCATATGAATTGCTTATACCCTAAGTATGATCCCTATTGTTTTTGGTGCATGCCCGACCCCCAGAGGCAGAACCACGCCCATTCCTTATATTTATTTATTTGTTTGTCATCTACAGACCGCATTTCTTAACGTATCAACTTTACATACTTATTCCTTATACCCTAAGGATGATCCCTATTGTTTTTGGTGCATGCAAGCCTCCCCGGGGCAGAGCCACGCCCATTTTTTGTATTTGTTTGTTTGTCGTCTACAGGCCACATTTCTTAACGTATCATCTTGAAACTTTGCATACTTATTCTTTGTACCCTAAGGAACATCCCTATCGTTTTGGGTGCATGCCCAACCCCCAGGGGCAAAGCCACGCCCATTTTCTTTTTTATGTCTGTGTGTCGCCTACAGGCCACAATTCTTAATCAATCGTCTTGAAATTTTTTCATATGAATTGCTTATACCCTAACGATCATCCCTATTGTTTTTTTACCCCCAGGGGCAGAGCCACGCCCATTTTCTTTTCTTTTTATGTCTGTGTGTCACCTACAGGCCACAATTCTTAATCAATCGTCTTGAAAAAATTTCATATGAATTGCTTATACCCTAACGATGATCCCTATTGTTTTTGGTGCATGCCCGACCGCCAGGGGCAGAGCCACGCCCATCCCTTATATTTATTTATTTGTTTGTCATCTACAGATCGCATTTCTTATCGTATCACCTTGAAACCTAGCATACATATTCCTTCTATCCTAAGGAACATCCCTATTATTAGTGGTGAATACCCAACACCCAGGGGCAGAGCTACGCCCATTTTCTTTTTTTATGTCTGTGTGTCACTTGCAGACCGCATTTCTTAATCGATCATCTTGAAAACTTTTTTATACTTATTCCTTATAGCCTAAGGCTACTTTTTATACTTATTCCTTAATCCTAAGGCCGACCTCTATTATTATTTTTGGTGCATGCTCGACCCCTTGGGACAGAGCCACGCCTAACGTTTGTGTGTCCTGTGTTTTGCCTACAGACCGCAATTCTTAACAGATCCTTTTGAAACTTTGCATACCTATTCGAAACGTCATGCTTTTAGAATAAAGACATCGATTGTTTTAAAATAAAAATTGTGTTCTGTTAATGTGAACGAAGTGTTAAACTGATAGCAGTCCTACAACCCAGTTTTATTTCACAGACCCTCAATGCAAACTGGACCATATCAAACAAAACAGGAATGTGGACGTATATTGCTGCGTTAGCGATGCTCTTGTTTGTCCATGGAATGCATTTGTTTAATTCATACGAGAACATTTGGGAATGGATTAAGCCGTTAAATAAAAACGAATGTCTGAAGAATGCAAATGGTGATCAGCTAGTTTAAAACTATCACAGAAATTTATTATTTTCTAAATGCCACTGCTTTTAAAAAAAATTTTAAGACTTCATTATTATTTTCTTTTTCTCCAGGGAATTAAATTTACGCTCACCAATCTACCAACAGACGGCTTGCTACGGACATTTTGGACGACCAGGTTTCTCATGGGAAACGCCCAAGAAATTGAAATATTAGTTGTTATATACCCCCTATAATTAATTAACTTTGTTTATTATAAATTTTTTAATTATATATTAATATTGTTATTACTCGTATTGTGTATAGATCGCTTGCGGTCGATTCATGGTATTTAAAGGTGCCACAGTAGAAACAAGGATAGGTTGACGTAGACATTAACCAAAAATTTTTCAAAAAAAAAAAAAAATTACTCGATTAATTTATTGTTTTTCAAATTTGTGCGTTATTAAATGATAGCATTCTGACCTCCTGTTGTCAGAAAATGTTCTACATTGAGGATATTCGTAACTTTGTATTGGGGGAGAGATGGTATGGATTATCTCTCTTTCATGTAAATTTTTCTGAATTGCGGATATTTTGTATGAGGGATGATATGTTAATTATCGTTCCTTTATGCGTACTTTGTAAGGAATTTTTCTGATGACAGGACTTTCGTTAGTGTTATTATCGTAGCGCAGTGTTTGATAAACTTCTGATTTGTCCCCAATATATATATATATATAGATAGAATCGTATAAATCCATGTTATCGTTGATTGTGTTAGTCATGTGATGAACCTGGTGCTCTGAGATTGATCACATTGACTGACAGTGATTCGCCCATTTGATTTAATTGTTTATTCGGAGTTGTCTACCTTGGTCTGATCTTGGTGCTACTGCAAATCTGCATGTGCATGTAAAAACACATGCACCTTTGTCTTGGGTTTATAGAAATTTCAAGGAAAAGAGCACTCTCTCTAAACCTCTCGGGTTACCTTCGCCATGAATCGACTGCGACCATGGTTAACATTTTTTTTCTTTTTTTTTTTTTACACGTATGCGTGTTCTCGTTGGTCACGATTTTGTGTCTTGTATATTACAATACAAATATTTTTTTAGTCGGATTTTGAAGACTAAAGGTGTGTTAGAACTCAATTGATAGGGTATTTACTATATTCTCTGTCCGTTGATTTATTTAAATAACAATGAAGTTGTACATCAGATTAAAAAATTTACGCAAAAAATGATACAAGGGAGATAAGCTAATTATTTGTGTGAAAGAGTGAGTGTGTGTCTGTCTCTCATAAATTATCGATCAATCAATCGTGAGAAAATATTCCTCTCATTGAACATTTAAAATAATAAAAAGAAAAATGTGTGCAAATGATAAATTCTGTAAAGAAATTTTAAAATATTGTAAAAAAAAAAATTATGAATTGTACAAATTTCTTAACATGATGCTCATTTGTAAACGAGATTCATGGCGATATCATTAAATCATTGTTTTCATATTGTATAAAAAAGAGGTAATTTTTAAACTTGCCTTCTTGGGATCAAGAAATAATAATAAAAAATTATAAAATTTTGTTATGAATTGTTATATTATGTTTATAATCTTTGAGTGCCATTTAGTGATTGAGCACAAAAGAAACAAAAACCAACACAGGTTCTGTGGAAAACAATCACTGGTTTATACAATCTGATTATAATACAGATCTATATTTCGTTTCGTTTTTTTATACTTTCGATGGCCTACACTACATGAAGATCTGACAAGTTATAGCGATAGGTCACGTCAGGGGGGTCAAAATACCGACTCTTGACCCTATGATGTCAGACATTTGATTAACCAATCAGCATTGATGTTACTAGTGGATTACCCACAGTTCCGTGCAAAACACGCCTAAAGCTCGCCGTAACAGACCGTTTCATTGGTTTATCCCCGACACCATTCAGAACACAAGTTAAATAACAACTCTTCCAGATCCAAGTGTAGTAAAGACAAGTAAAACGAAATTTTGAACTATAAAAACGAAACGAAATGGGATCTGTGTTTGAATCAGATTGTGGTTTATACACATATAGCGAAACGGTTTGACAAGTATTATTGTTTATGCATTGGACGAAGTTCATCCGGATTTTCTGGCGTGGTTCCCCCAGTATAGGAGCAGAACAGTAGGACGTTAAACCCCATTTCATTTCTTGAATGAATCGGTTGGATGGTCGAATGGTTAGCACGCATGTGTGCTGTATGATAAGGTTTGTCATGGAATCAACTGGCATGTTTCGATTCCCCGCTTGTTCATGACAAGGGAGTAGGGTCACCTGTCCAACCTCATGGGTTTTCTCCGGTTTCCTCCCACTGCTAAAGACCCCTCGTGCAAGCGAATTGAAATGAAATTGAACCATATGTTAGTCCCGAAATAACCTAGTTTGTGTCAGTGGATGTTTGACCCCATTCCTCTCTTTAATAAATCAAGAGTTACTGTGGATAAGGCAGCAGCTCAACAGCCAGGAGGCTCTTGAGTTCATTTCGCGGTTTTGGCTTAGTGCGGGTTCTCTCTGTGGTGACAAACCGGTGGCCTGAAGCAAACCATGACAGTAGTTTGAATGGGGTGGGACGATTTACCCAATACCACCTCAATATCACCACATACTACCCAATACTACAACATAATGATGCAAAATAGAGACATCATTTGATTTTTTTTTCAAAAATAGAGAGTTATAATGCGGGATATGTGCTTCAAATGCGATACCGATGTCTGGTTGTTCCATTTGCTATATGCCACCCAAAACAAGGCAATAATAACAAAATATTCATCAAATACTACCCAGTATGATCTAATAACAACCTAATATTTCAAATAACAGCACATTAGTATAATTACTGCAACGAATATTCGATATTTTGCAGAAAATTGAAATGTTTATACAGTTATCTCCCTTTACAACCGGTAAATAGATTTTAGATTGCTACTCCGATTAATCACCTTCTTTGGCTTTGCAGTTGGTTTCGAAGGCGACAAACTTAAAATAAGAAAAACAATTAACCATATACCATATTTTATTCCCAAAATGACCCACCTCTCTCTTAACGCTTGTAAGTGACAAGGCGTGGGTTCGTCTGTCAAACAAGCGAGTTAATGAAATAATATTGAACTATATGTTAGTCCCGAAATTACCTAGTGTCGAATGTTTGTATGTATTTTAAAATTAATGCTTTAACAAAACAAACTGCATTATGTTTATATTCATTTTTTTTCATGTCAACTATTAAGTTATTGCGTATTTACTTACTGCACGATATTTTATTTTAAATTAACATACGACACTTCTTAGTTCATCAAAACTATCATTTGCGGCCTGTTACAGCACTGTCGGTTTATTGCGCTATCTATACCATAATGTTTCATGCATATAATTACTGATTTAATAAACAATTAATCAATCACTCATTACAATACGTTACAACAAATTACAACGAATTGCAACGAAAGTATACATAATTTTCTTGTCAACAAAAATCACATACACGAGTTATCTCCCATGAACCTCCGATTTGGGCACTGAGGCTTTTTAACTCAACTGAATTGTTATTTTGTGTTTCCACAGTCAACATTTTTGGAGTTACTGGGTGTTGTTTTGGAGTTATTGGATAATTCGACGCGCCCTACGCTATCATAATCATGATGCGTATATTTGAAATGAATTCCGGTAGTCTTTCAAATAAATAGACCCACAGCGCCTTCATCAGGCCCGTGGAGAGATCAAAATAGTTATTCGTTATATTATAGTGTATTATGCATTTAAAATAAATTAGTTTTGTGGGAGGAATCGGGGATTTTCGATGTGAATTTCGGTGATTGTAAATGAATTCCGGGGATTTTCGGTGATTAGTCGGACCCGTTTCTTTGATAATATAAATAAACCAGAACTTGATTACCCAATCAACAATCTTAACCCCGTTGATTAAGTGTTAAGTCAGGTGGAATGTATATACGAGTAGAGCATTACACATTTGCATTGTAATAAACATAAAACATCCTCCATTAAACATACATTATGCAAGAGCTAAATCTGCCTATTGCAGGTCTTTCTTTAAGCCTGAAATGTTATCTAAAGTATTAATTAGACATTAATTAACGTATCCAGACCATAATCAACTCTCGATGTCAACGCGAGCCTGCGATAATTGTTGGATTATGATCCGATTTGCTGCTTAACTTTCCTTCTCGATTTAACGATTAAATGGATAATGGAGACTATGATTTTTGTCGTACCGACTTTAGTAATGATGACCGAGGCTATGCGGAACTTTCGGTTCATAGTGGATCAATTTGACTGAAATTTTCAGCAAATTGCCTTTACATTATCTAGTTTTTAACTATTATAGTGATAACTGTCAGCTCGTTATCGAATCTCCAATAATGTATCTTTAAGTAAATATGCAATAACTTAATACTTAACATGGGAGAGAGAGAGAGAGAGAGGGAAGAGTGAGAGAGGGAGAGAGAGAGAGGGAGAAGAGTGAGAGAGAGAGAGAGAGGAAGTGAGTGAGAGAGGGAGAGAGAGAGAGAGAGAGGGAAGAGTGAGAGAGAGAGAGTGAGAGAGAGAGAGTGAGTGAGAGAGGGAGAAAGAGAGAGAGAGGGGGGGAGAAGAGTGAGAGAGAGAGGGAGAAGAGTGAGAGAGAGAGAGAGAGGGAGAAGAGTGAGAGAGAGAGAGTGAGTGAGAGAGGGAGAAAGAGAGAGAGAGAGAGAGAGAGATACGGAGAAGAGTGAGAGAGAGAGAGAGGGAGAAGAGTGAGAGAGAGAGGGGGGAGAGGCAGAGAGAGAGAAATAAAAATGGGGTTTAACATCCACTCGACACAAACTAGGTCATTTCGGGTCTATATTTCAACAATTCGCTAATTGCGCATATAGAGGTCTTTGACAGAGGGAGGAAACTGGTGACTGTGTGTATTCATTTAGATGGTAATTAAATCGCCGCGACAACGTCACCTGTGGGTATATACCGGAGAATAATTAGAATTTGTTCAATATTGACAATATTCGAAGAATTTGTGACATTTTGACAAGAGGAGATTTTTCAAAGGCGCCTAGTTTGGAACCGGAATCATTTAAAAGACAAAGTCATTAAAAGACAGATATAAAGAAAAATTTGTATGCTTTCCTGACATATTATGCCCAAATGATTTTTTAAACTGATTTTACTTTAATGCATTTTTAAATCTATCTTAATTTCAAGTTATCTTGATGATTAACTGCCATTCTTAAACTAGAAATAAAGAACGTCGGATTAACGAACTTCTGTGCTGTGGGACGATCGAAAGAATAGGATGTACGATTTTCACAACGGTACTGCATCAGTGACAATCTGTTTCACAGAGAATTACGAGTCTAGTGATATATCTCTGTCAAAGATGACTGCCTTAACACGTGCTGTCACAGCACGCGGCGTCAATCATTGGCTGAATGGCGCGTGCATTGTTTACATAAGACGTTACTGCTTCGGAGAGAATGCTGCATTTTAGTCATTTTAATACCCATTTACACTAAATAGGAAATAATTTTTACCTACAAATACGTCAAACGCCTTTATTTATTTTTCCAATACAGGAAAAAAGTTAATATTTCTGGCTCATTAAGCCGCATCGATGTCATCCTTATCAGTGATTGTAGCGGCCTAGCAAATATTCACTGCGGATCAGTGTGCATCAGTGATAGTAGAGGCCAAGCGAATACAAACTCCAGGACCACGGGTAATATGTTCAGTGTGCAAGAAGCCATCTTAGTGTCTTAATATTCGAGTCTAAGTAGACAACGAGCGGGTTAAAATGTCCTATTTATAGATTATGTATTTTTCATTCAATGTATTTTCGCTACACGTTACTGGACATAAAATACCTAGGGAGAAAACAAACAAGGTTGTAAGGTTAGTCTATTGTCACCCGTCTGTCAGAGAAAGCAGGGGGATTTTAGTCACCGTGCACACATTGGCGTGCACGTAAAGGAACCCTTAACAGTTGAAATTCGAAATAACAGTAGGCCATAGTGCCGCTATCCGGGCAAAATTACCCTCATAGCCCGTCTTCAATAGTCCACACGCAGCAGAACAGTAGGACGTTAAACCCCATTTCATTTCATTCCATTAGTGCTGACACTGTTCGTCGCCATCGACGCTCTGTCGGAATGGATGGTTGATGGTCTTATTCTGTCTCAGTAGTTCGTTGATGTTTTCTGTACCATGACATTTACCTTTAAATTCTCCCAAGATAAATTTATTTTAATTACTCAGCCCGATAATACTGGATAGCTATTAACTATCTAGCCAGATCCATTACGCGGTGCACCAATCATATTATTCTAGTTCACCCCCCCCCCCCCCAAAGCTAACACCTTTGTCACAGGATTGACGTAAGGTTAAATTATAAAGGGTAAAGGTGATTGGGAAGTCCAAGGGTGAGAGGATGTTTACGGAACAAATTACGAATATGGTTAGAAAATAATCATCCACCCCAACCCAATTCGCCATTAGGCTACCTGCTATCATAGTTTTGCATAAAATGAAATGAAATGGGGCTTAACGTCCTACTGTTCTGCACCGACTGGGATAATGAAGACGGGCATACGCCATACAGTGTGCTATGAGGGAAATTTTGCCCGGGCAGCGGCACTATCGTCTACTCTTATATCGAATTCCAACTGCCAAGGGATCTTTTACGTGCATTCCAATGTATACACGGGACCTCGGTTTTTCGTATCATCCGAAGGACTAGACAGCTGCCCTTGTCAGGCCCTCCGAGCTGCATCACTGACAAGGGGGAACCACGCCGGAAAATCTGGATGAACTTTCTCGGCCAATGCAGGGATCGAACACCCGACCTCAGGCTACCGAGCCAGCGTCTTACCCACTTAGCCACGTGACGCCAACATGGCTCTTGGGTTAGTATGTATCCTGACTTTAATTGATGCAACACATATATTTTATTTTTATTTTTTAGATACACGTATCCGCTCATAATCAACGAACAGAATGGATGACAAAAATGTTTTGATCAATACTTTTGATTTGATATGCATATTTTTAAACTTTATTCTGTACAAACTGAAGAAATTTATTCTAAATAGAAATAAAAAGGTCGTGTTTATTTGTCTGATAGCACCCTATATCATGATCATAAGCAATGCCACTGTTAGTGTTCTTGGACATGTATTCGCCGATTTCACCATTAAATTAAATGCTAGTATTCTCCACCGTGAGCCTGACACAACGATTATTTATGACAGACGGCCCCACCCTTTAACAAATGGTACAGTAGCGCCTTATTTTTTGGAAAATCAAACACGTTACGTCGGTGAAGATGCAAGATTTGATTGTGAACAGATTATCTGGGGATTAAACACATCAAAACCTCACATCAATCAAGTGATCTGGCATAAAGATGGCAAGTTTCTAAATCCTGATGAAAGACACTCAATATCCTGGACTTTCCGAACGACTGGACAAAGCCAAATTCTGCCTGATTTACAGTCTTTTAAAGTAAAAAGTACCTTAAAAATAACGATGATAGATGAAAGCGATTTCGGAATATACAATTGTCATGTTTCTGAAAGAACACACACCATTCTTCCAAAAAAGACAAATAAAACAAAAGCCCCCACTCAACAAAAATTACAAAGGCAACAAAGGAAATGCACGTGTAACAATTCCCCGACGGAAAAAGAGAAGGACTTAAGTCAAGAGGAAATCGAGTCATTGTTCTATTTATGGAATAAGTTCGTTTGGAATTCTGAATTCCGTCTAATTAAGGACATGCCCCGCGTTGAAACCGTCTTTGTAGCCCCTGGTACGGTATTTTCCGTTGGCGCATATTTTAGACACTTGGGAAACAACGAAGATTTCACGCTGTATTATACTGTAAATGGTAAAGAACCTGTTGTCCAGGAATCAAGATGTTCAATATTTGTTTTGTTATATAATGCACTTTCCAGGGGAAGAATTTTTGATACATTTCGTTTACTTGCATACCCACCCAGATTATTAGAAAGCGGGGTACGCAGTGGAGAAATTTCACGGAAAACTACGTTTTCGCGATTACAACACTGTGTTACGCCCAAATCGTACGGCATTTATGACATGGTTATACTGAGAAAGGTATTCAACGAACGAGATAAAACTTACGATATTCACGAATTTAATCATCCGCTCAAGATAGATGTCAAACCTAAAGAATCTGATCTATTTGTGTTCGCGGATGATTCTGGTACGGACACAACTGAAGACACAACAAATGACTTTGATGTTGATTGTTGGAACATGGGGACGGTTTCACAGTCCTTAAGCTGCAGGTTAATAAAACGACTGGTTAATCAAATTGCAAGGGATTTACATTTCCGTGACGTCGCGTATTTTATCTTCACCGTCTTGTTTTTGTTTTTTTATATTTACGTTCTATACAAATCTGGAATGTATTTAGTAAACTGTATAATGATTTTTTCATGGCCAGATATTCCTATAAGAATGCTTGCAGGGATACCAAACAAATATGAAGTCGACATAAAATACCACGTGTTTATTTCGTATTGTGATAATGATGAACAACGTGCTCACAACCTTACTGATGCCCTGGAAGAAGAGGGTCTGAAGGTGTTTTTGCGATCTCGGGACATATCACCAGGAAGACCTAGATTATCAGACACAGGCAAAGCAATATGTCAAAGTGCTGTGGTATTTGTTATAGCCAGCGTCGAATACGTTGATAACTGCGATTTGATTGAATTAGAAATAAATATGATTTTACAGAAGACAAAGAAAAAAACCCTTTTTGTAATAAAAGTAGATGATTGTGGGGTCGCAAATATCTTTAGAGATCAGTATAGGACGATTGATCTAAAAGATGATAGCATTAATGGGTGGGCTAAACAAATGGCGACATGGCTGAATAATATGAACCATGCTTCGCGAGTGAATAATAAATTTAAGACCGGCTGCTTGTTATACTTGACTGTGATATTATATAGTAGTTATCATCTTGTAAAAAATATACTCCGTTCTACGTGTCTAGCTCATAAATATTGCAATTAAAGGACAATATTGGGGTCAGTCATTATAAAATATGTGATAGAACTGGTTAAATCCATCCCAAATATAATTTTAACACAGAGATCATTGCTACGGGAGATGTGTAACAAGCACGTGAAGAAACGGGAAGTGACGACAAACATGACAAATATGAGTTATCCTACTATATAACTGATTGAAGCAACGAGCGATAACAGACACGCGATCGAATTCCATTTCACTGATAATTCAGTTGAAGATGAAAAGCTAAGGCCTGTCATTGAGTCAACTGGCGTGGTTTCGAATCCCCGGTTGTACGTGGCAAGGAGTAAGGTCGCCTGTCCAACCTTGTGGGTTTTCTCCGGGTCCTCCGGTTTCCTCCCACTGCTAAAGACCCACACGCGCAAGCGAATTATTGAAATAAAATTAAATCATATGTTAGTCCTGAAATGACCTAGTGTGTGTCGAGTGGACGTTAAACCCCATCTCTCTCTCTCTCTCTCGCGGTCGTAACAAACTTTAACCATTACACATAGTCATATATCTTAGGCCTAATGTTCTTTTTGAAATGGTGGGTTGGATGGCTGAATGGTTAGCGTGCGCGCGCTGTATCATAAAGTCTGTCATTGAGTCGTGGTTTCGAATCCCCGGTTGTACGTGGCAAGGAGTGGGGTCGCCTGTCCAACCTCGTGGGTTTTCTCCGGGTCCTCTGGTTTCTTCCCACTGCTAAAGACCCCTACGCGCAAGCGAATTATGTAAATAAAATTAAACCATATGTTAGTCCTGAAATGACCTAGTTTGTGTCGAGTGGACGTTAAACCCCATTTCTCTCTCTCTCTCTTTTTGAAATATTTTCCACGTTACAGGCGCATGTGCCGCTTATCGCCTCTCCAACATCGTGGTGGTGGTGGTATGTTCATAATCATATTGTGTATTTTTCACCTCACAATTGATTTCATTCCAAGGAAATAAAGTTATTAAATCATTTCTCTGTATTTATACATTATAAAATAATAATAAAGATACAAATATTATGTTAGATTTAGATTTGGTTTCTATTGTGACAAGTGCTTAATTTTCTATTTTATAAAATACGAACTATTATTTAGATTCTGTGAACTTATTGACCTAAGCTAGTTTTGATAATAGATGATGTTGACTTTTCAACTCTATATACTTCTGGTTAGTCACGTTCTAATTAAACATGTAATTAATCCCATATGTCATTTACAAACTACATATGATCTGTACACACGCTCTGCATTAAGTCAAAGGAATATGCACTGGTCAGTAACCATACCATGAACTGTTAATGACCTCAAAGGAAATACGCTGTGCAATTTTGGCTATATAATCAGGCGTTGGCTGACAGTTCGAAAGAGAGGAGCGCGGGGAAGAGAACAGAGGCTTGGACGAGTGTATGGCTCACCCGAGTTCAGCGGCTGCTTTGCCAGAGGAACAGAATAGTGGAATTAACATAGTTAGATGTGTTCCTGTCGTAGACTAGTTCTTATATAGTTTAAGTTCCCACATTGTTTATGTATGTAACTGTAGCTGTTATATGTTCCCGTTGTAAATAAATGCTGTATTTACTAAACTGATATCTGTTATACCAAGATAGTGTTACACTATTCCCTGCTTATACGTAACATAGAGTAGGGTCGCCTGTTCAACCTTGTTGAAATACACTTGAACTATATGATAGTCTAGAAATGACCTAGTTGTGTCGTGTGGACGTTAAGCACCCCCCCCCCCCCCGTCCCCCTCTCTCTGCTGACCAAATCTTGATACACATTCTTAATTACGACACTGGAATCGTCGACAGGGCAGTATGCGGCTTGCATCGGGTGCCTGGCTGAAAACGTAAAAATGTTAACAGTGAAAGGGGGACACTATAAGTCCAAATTTTTGACACTCTATAACATTTCTGCCGACATTAATAACGACGCATTCTAATACAAGAACAGTTTTCTAGGTAGGTATGTATAGCTAAGTCTTATTGTCCGTGCATGCGCTGCGTTCCTATAGGCACTATCACTGGTTCTAGTTGTGTGTTGTGGATGACGGAATAATATTTCTAACGATGCATTCTAATACAAGAACAGTTATATAGACATCAATAATCCTACTCCGACCACAAACACTGTTTCTGGCAAATCTTCCAAACCTATTATTTTGTTCTTTTCGTTTGTGGTTTTACATTTCTCTGGCCGTTTGTCACGAATTACCCTTTCTTCCAGTTTGGATAAATATCCATTATCTGACAACACCCATAGAACGCGTTCCAGATCAGCCATTAGCAGGGGCAATAATATGGGGGAGGGGGTACACCCCCCCAGGAAAAAAAATAGTCGGTCGCAAAATCAGTGCAGTCGGTCGCAAAATAAGAGCAGTCGGTATCAAAATAAGTGCTCACTGCACACGTTACGCTGCTCACGCAAAACTTTAGTATAAAATAACCTTGTCAACTTATCATGTTTGAAAAAATGATGTGTTTAACTCTTATTCTGTTGTGAGTATGTAGGTCTAAGAACAAAATTTCCCCCAGGTAGAAAAATAGTCGGTCTCAAAATAAGTGCAGTCACTGCAGTCGGTCTCAAAATTATGCATCGCCGTCTTAATGAATTAATGAGGTAAACAAATAATGCCAAAATAGATCCCAAATACTAGTCGGTCGCAAAATCAGTGCAGTCGGTATCAAAATAAGTGCTCACTGCATACGTCACTCTACTCACGCAAAACTTTAGTATAAAATAACCTTGTCAACTTATGTTTGAAAAAATGTTTTTCACCCCATGGCAAAGAAATAGTCGGTCTAAAAAAAAAAGTGCTCACCGCAGTCGGTCTCAGACTAAATGAATTAATGGGGTGTTTTCTGACCATCAGAATTCTGCAAAATCTCTCCCCAAAGTCCAGGGCATTTCAGAGACCAAGTAAGCGCCCCATTGAGGTAAAGTGCCCTCAGGCCCAGTCCTCAAAAATTAAAAGCTCAGTTACATATCGGCGCTCAATTCCATTATGCCATCATTCTTCAACTCCTTCTCTGTCTTATACTATCTCATCACTATCATATTCACAGTTACAGTGAATCGCCCAGTTAGTAGTACCACTAGTGAGTGAGTCGTGGGTCAAAAGACTGTAGAATTGTTAGTTCTACTCTCACAAAACAGGCGACATTGACAGATAGGCCTCAAGATTCTGTCCCATTTCTTATCCTCTCGTTAACGAGAATTTGGATCCATTTGCCATGACATTGATTAAAATTGTCAGGCCCAATTCCAAAAATTAAAAGCTCGGTTACACATCTGAAATGTTTTCGCGCCTGCGGCGCTCGATTCCATTATAACGTCATTCTTCTACTCCTCTGTTGTCTTATACTATCTCAGCACTATCATATTCACGGTTATACTGAACTGACTAGTTATGTTAGTAGTACCACTGGCACTGGTGTGTGGGTCGTAGGGCGTCAGACTATACAAAAGTTCTGTCAACTCTTGCAAAACAGGCGGAATTGACAGGGGCAGATCTCGAGATTTTGTCTAATTGACTCACATTTCTGGTCCTCTCGTCCACAAGAATTTCTCCAAGCAATGAGCTCAAATGCCAAGATATTGACTCAATATTTCAAAATTTTCTCAGGTTGCTCAGTGTTATAGGCACAATCATATATGACATAAACTTTATGTCAACTTAAATAAAACTGCTTTCCAGCGAGACAACGATCGGCAAACAACTATATAATTATACAATACCACCTATGTTCTACCGGGACGCTTAATGTTATAGCCAGTATTTTGTTGACATTCATTGTGGGGTGGAATTGTGGCTGGGGTGGCGCCCTAGATTTGGACCCCCTCACCCCTATCTAGATCCGCTACTGCACATGGCCCCTCAAAACTCGCACCTGTGGTGCTCGGCTCCTGACTGCGTCACTCGTAGGGGTATGGGCATCAGTCGGTCGCATTTTGGCTAAACACCCCCCCCCCCCAAACAAAATCGTTATGTACGCTCCTGTACAGACTTTATGATACAAGAGTTTTATATCAGTTTACATTGTATGTTTATATGTGTAATTTGATTTTAAAAGGCTAAAAGGTTTAAATTAACCGAGTAAACGGAAGTGGCCTAGTCTCGTTGAACCAGACTCACCATTGTCTTGTAGACTAAACACCCAAACTGGACCTTATTCGATCGCTAAGATCACCGGAACACGTGAAAATAAAGAAATGAAATGAAATGGGGTTTAACGTTCTACTGTTCTGCACTGACTGGGCTAATGAAGTTGAGCATACACCATACAGGGATTCTTATTTTGAATCCCAACTGTTAAGGGCTCTTTTACTTTACGTGTACACGGGACCTCGTTTTTTTGTCCCACCCGAACGACTATACGTTGTCTCTTGCTAGGTCTTTCGTTTTGCACCACTGGCAAGGGGGGGGGGGCACTCCAGAAAATCGGGATCGAACACCGGACCTCTAGGTTAGCGAGCCAACGTCTTTCTCACCGGCACATCTGTCAGTAATGAGAGAGAGAGAGAGAGAGAGAGAGAGAGAGAGAAATGGGGTTTAACGTCCACTCGACACAAACTAGGTCATTTCGGGACTAACACATAGTTCATTTTTATTTCAATAATTCGCTTGCGCTTAGGAGTCTTTAGAAGAGGGAGCTAGGAAATCGGAGGACCCGGAGAAAACTCACGAGGATGGACAGGCGACCCTACTCCTTGTCACGTACAACCGGGCAATCGAAACCACGCAAGCTGACTCAGTGACAGACCGTATGATACAACACACACGCGCTAACCATTCGGCCATGTCCATATATTCATTAGCGAAGAGAAGTTTGGTAGAAATCCACGGAGGCTATTATAGCGAGCCTGGTTGAACGAGACTAACCGTCATTAAAACCATCAAACAGGAAACTTACTTTGCTCTCCAAGGACTAACTGGTTTGTTGAACATGTTGACGTAGATATAATTAGGCCTATGACTCGTTTGTTGTTACATGGTATGACGAAACAGAGAAATAAAAGCTTTAAAGCGACATTCAAGTAGGGACACCGGAATCAGGAGAGGGAGAGATGGAATGAAATGGGGTTTAAAGTCCTACTGTTTTCCTCCTAACCTGGGCTAATGAAGACGGGCAGACGCCATACAGTGTGCTATGAGGGAAATTTTGCCCGGGCAGCGGCGCTACGGCCTACTCTTATATCGAA